GTCATTATATAATATATATATATATATATATATATATATATATATATATATATATATATATATATATATATATATATATATATATATATATATATATATATATATATATATATATATATATATATATATATATATATATATATAATATATACATATACAATATATATACATACACATACACCTAGACCCCGACTTACGACTACGTGGACTTACGACCATCGGGACTTACGACCGCCTCAGATATAGATAAAAATTTTTTTTTTTTTTTTTTAAATGACACGCATTTTCTATACCAGAAACGTTTCAGTTAATGTAGTCTCCATATATAATTAAAAATTATGGGCCCCATGTGCATTCAATGACTACATTAAAGGTTAAGTGCTTCAGTCACATATCCATTCCTTATTATTTATTACTTTCACTGTACTGTATCCATTCATCATTATTCATTACTTTTACTGTACTGTATGTCATTGTAGATTTTTTATTAAAAAAAAAAAAAAAATATATTTATTTTTATTTTTTATCTATATCGGACTTCGACCTGGATTTGGGTCCCTAACCCCGTCAAAGTCGGGGTTTAAATATATATATATATATATATATATATATATATATATATATATATATATATATATATATACACACACACACACACACACATACACCCATTTACGATGGGTTAGGGACCCAAATCAGGTCATAAGTCCGACATGGTAAATAAGTCGACATATATAATTTTTTTTTTTTTTTTTTATAAATAAATAATCTACAATGAAATACAGTACAGTAAAAGTAATGAATAATGAGGAATGGAATACAGTACAGTAAGTAATAAACAATAAGGAATGGTTACAGTGTGACTGAAACGCATTTATTGTAGTCAGCTGAATGCACATGGGGCCCCATAATTTTCTAATTATACATGGAGACTACAGTAACTAGAAACGTTTACATAGAAAATCGTGTGTCATTTGAAAAAAAAAAAAAAAATTATAAAAATCTCTGTGATCGTGAGGTCGGCCAGTGCGTGAAATCGTAGCAGTCGTAAAATCGAGGTCTGTCTGTGTATATATATATATATATATATATATATATATATATATATATATATATATATATATATATATATATATATATATATATATATATATATATATATACACACACCTAAACCCCGACTTACGACGGGGTTAGGGACCCAAATCCAGGTCGTAAGTCCGATGTGGTCGTAAGTCCGATATAGATAAAAAATTCAAAAAAATTCAAAATAAAATTTTTCAAAAAAAAAAAAATTCAAAAATTTTTTTTTTTCAAATTTTTTTTAAAAATCTACAATGAAATACAGTACACTAAACGTAAAAAATAATGAGGAATGGATACAGTACAGTAAAAGTAATAAATAATGAGGAATGGATACAGTGTGACTGAGCACTTACCTTAAATGTAGTCAGCTGAATGCACACGGGGCCCCCATAATTTTCTATTTACAGGATACATGGAGACTATATTAATTGGAAGAAGCAGAAGAGGAGACAGGGCTGGGTGGGTCATCAATGTCGCTTCCTTCAGACAGGTTTATGTACTGTGGTAACTTGCTGGTTGAAGGTATTGGATCATCTTGAGGGAGTGAAGAGGCAGCACTGGTGGGGCGTGAGGAGCCAGTACTGGGGGACTTCTTGAAATAGGTGTCCAATTTAGACTGCACAGTTTTTTTTTTCTTTTCATTATAAATTTCTCTGTAGCAAGCAAGTGAATCTTGGATCATTCTGTCAACTTTGGCATAACGCTCATAATTTTGATCCATGTCATCAAACATTTGCATTGCTTTATTAATTGTAGCAAATGCCTCTGCCATATGTTTCACTGAAAACTTTTTGGGGGTGCAGGCTCTTCTTCTACATTTTGTCTCTCTTCTTCCTCTGCAACTTTCTGTGCATCTAGTTCAATAAGATCCTCGTTACTGAGTTCTTCTGCTACACTTTCAACCAACTGTCCAACATCTTCAGTATCAATTTCTAACTCCAGCTGTTTACCTAAGTCCACTATCTTGTTACTAATATCCAAAATAACTTCACTTTCATTAAATCCTTTGAAACTGTTCACATATCTTTTCAGGATTTTCTTCCATATTCCATTCATGCAATGTTTTGTAACCTGATCCCATGCTGCACTAATGTTCTTTATACATGACAAAATGTTGTACTCCTTCCAAAACTGTCTGAGCGTTTTCTCACCTTCAGTAGCAGCAACAGCCTGAGCGAAGGTCGTGCGTAAATAATATGCTTTAAAGGCAGAAATAGCACCTTGATCCATGGGTTGGATGATAGAGGTAGTGTTAGGTGGCATGTACACTACCTTAACATCAGGGTGCATGTCGTCCAGGTGTGGTGGGTGTCCCGGAGCATTATCCAAAATCAGTAAAATCTTGAATGGAATCCTTTGTTGCAGACAATACTCCTTGGCTCGTGGAATGAAACAAGTCATGAACCAATCCTCAAATAGTACTAGGGTCATCCAGGCTTTCTTGTTACTGAGATAAAACACTGGCAGTGTGTGCTTGCTGACATGTTTAAAAGCCCTGGGGTTCTCTGAATGATAGATCATGAAGGGCTTTAGCTTGAAACCAGCAACATTCCCCCCCAACAGAAGTGTAATTCTGTCCTTGAATGCCTTGAATCCGGGCATTTTTTTTGCCTCTTTGTGGATGTATGTCCGTCAGGCATGCGTTTCCACAATAATCCAGTCTCATCCACATTGAATATTTGCTCTGGCAAATAATTCCCTTCCACAATCACATCATCTAACTCCTCCTTAAAAGCTTCGGCAGCACCAACATCGGCACTAGCTGCCTCTCCACTCACCTTAACACTGTGTAGACTGTAGCGTTTTTTAAATCTATCAAACCACCCTTGACTTCCTGTAAAGGTTTGATCACATTCATCTCCTGCCTGCTCCTTCAGGCTTTGGAACAGGCTTCTTGCTTTAGCCTGTATGGTTAGAACACTTAAGGGTACACGCTTCTGCATCTGGTCTTCTATCCATATCACCAATAATTTTTCCATATCGTGGATAGGACCTTGTCTTTTCTTTGTTATTATAGTTCCCTTTATAGGTGTTGTTCCTTTCACTACTTCACGAATACGTTCCTTGTCCTTCAGAATAGTGGATATAGTCGAGTGTGAGAAACCTAGGTCGCGTGAGATCGTTGCTACTGTTTTTCCATTCTCATACTGTGTTATTATCTTCAGTTTCATCTCAAAAGTAATTGCCTGTCTCCTTTTCCTTGGAGTACCACCAGCACTCTCACTTTTACGCTTTCCAGTCATTATAAAGTCAATTAAATACAATAATAACGAAAGTTCACAGCGCGATCAGTATAGGATACGATAGCCAAACACAAACAAAGCGCTCCACTGAGTGAGTGTACCCACGAGGCGGCCCAAGACACCCCTCCCTCTCGTCCGGGACGGAAACGTTTCGGTATAGAAAATGCGCGCGTCATTTGAAAAAAATTTTGGTCACGGCGGTCGCAGTCGTATGTCCCGTATGGACGTACGGTCAAAGCAGGTCGTAAGTACCAATGGACGTAAGTCCGTATAGTCGTAAGTCGGGGTTTAGGTGTGTATATATATATATATATATATATATATATATATATATATATATATATATATATATATATATATATATATATATATATATATATATATATATATATATATATATATATATATATATATATGAAAGTAATAGCATTTCTTTATTCACCAGCGAGAGTTAGGTAGGGGAGCTATGTTATGGTTATTTTTCAATTGGTAATTTCAGGTAGATAAACTTAATTTCTTCACTTTTCTATAATATACTCAGTTACATGCTCACACAATCCTGGGCTGCATTGCTATGGCGAGGTTTGAGGCCATGCAGCCAACATCTATGCAAATTGCGGCTGTGTTAAACTTTCATTTAGCTTTTCCTGAATGGTTAAGAGCCATATTTTTATCTTGATAATATTTTATTAATGTTTTTAATGTTTAGGGAATAAATTACAGTAGTTGTGTACTATTTATTTAGTTAGGTAAGTATTCTGTTGTTCGTGAACCAATTTCATGTTTTTGGGGTATGATATTGGGGTTGTCTTTGTTATTTGGGCGCCAAATCCTTTTTTTCTCTTTATGTTCTGTTATTCGAGATACAAAAATTCACTTTATGAATGGCTTTTCTGGAAGTTAACTCATTTGCATAATGAGGGATACATGTAAAATAAATCTATAAAATTAGAAAAATGAAGAGTGGGGAGTGAACTGTGTGTGGGAGGTACGACTATTGGGCAGTGGACTAAGGTTTATCTTCTTCCCTCCCTTACCCTCCCCCCTTCCTACCTCTAGGTGCCCCTCTGACCTCCTTAATACAACATTTTGCAATTTCATCATAATTCACATATTATTTAGGTTCATTTGGGACGGAGTTATTAAAACATTATTTTAAAGTAATAATTTTTCCCCCCAGATGAGTTATTGTGAGTTATTGTGTGGTGCCTGCCTGTTTAGATGTTGGTGTATTGATGCAACCAACAGAAGAGGGGGAGCTGTTTATGTAACGTAGAAATACTTTTTGTACAATATCTATGTGTTACTGTATTTTTTTATGTATTATGTATGATTTGTAGTGTGTATTAAAGCAGTTCTGAAACAGTTTATAGAAAAATTTTCGCCTCTGGAATCAAACTAATTATTCCATTTAAAACAATTAAACTATAATTCACAGTTTCGTAATTCACAATGTCTAGTTGTTCCTAACCCGCGAATTATCGAGACTCCACTGTACAGTACTGTATTAGTGTTTAAGTGCAGTGACAAAGTTATTTTACTGCAAATAAAATTTTTTGTCTTGTTAAACTTTTGGTTTCTGTAATATTTGTATTTAATTTTTTTTCAGTTAATGTCAAAAAGTGATAGCAAACAGATCTTGGCTGTTCATCCAGTAGCCTTACAAGTAGCAGTATCTTTCTTCCTGGGGATATTATGTGACTTGACCTCTCCCAAAGTTGTCTTACTAGGACCTCAGGTCATGTGTGCACTGTTAGGGATGCTGGTTCACTTCAGTCCCAGTACAAATCCTGCACAACTTGTGTTATATCTACCATTTCTTAACTCAAGCTTATTAGGTAAGTTTATCAATATTTGTCTCATGTTGCTAACTTGTGTGTACATACAGTAAGTGCCATAATATATAAGATTTATGTAGATGCAGCTTATGTTAATTTATTTTCATATTGCCTAGATATAATGTACAGTAAACCCCTTATATAACAGACACTGCCTATAATGGACCTCAGCTTTAACGGACCCTATGACCCATTCGGACTAGGCTCATATATTATGGACCAAGATCCATAAAAAAAAAAATAACGGACTCAGGTCCATTATGGTAAAAAATTTATGGATTTAAGTCCATTTTCATCCAAATGATCACAAATGCACTATACCCTCGTTAATTCGAAATAAAAGGGGCTCTGTGTAACTTGAATTGTTGAAAATTTCGAATTAACCAAGTTCGGAATATTTTGACATTATATTTGACAATTTCCGAATTTTTTTGTTCAATTATAACACTGTACGTGAAAATGCTGACAAATATGCTTTAAGTTACTAGTTATATTAGATTTATGATTGGGGATTGACTAAGAATACATTTTTTGTAGATAACTGATATAATACCAATGTGTAAATTGTAGGAAAATAATGTTTTTGAAAAATATATGCTGTATGGATATGTCTTGTTCCTCAGTTATGAATCATCCTGCAGCAGAGTTATTTATTTCTTAATAACATTATATTCCTTCATTTTACACATTGATACTATTTAAATTGTATACAAGAAATGTATTCTTATGCAATCTCCGATCATAAATCTTAAATAACTAGTAATTTAAAGAATATTTGTCAACACTTTCCCATACAGTGTCGCCAGATCACCTGCCTCATAACATGGAGTTGGGTTGGGACAACTTCTGCTGTTCACTGTAAATTTAAAAACAAACATTTATACAGTAAACCCTAGAAAATTCATCCCTGTAAATCCGGATTTTGGAAGGTTCGGACCAAAAATTTGGGGGTTCTGGGTTTAGAAGCCTCCCTAAGGAGCATTCCCAATTCAGGGTGAAGGTAATTTTAGGCTTAAAGTTTTTATCGTATAAAATGTCACAGACTAAACTTAACAGAATATAACCTACATTGCTGGAATCCTTGTAAGATAATGAATAATTTAAGTATAAACATCACATAGTTTGCACAAGAGAAATTTTTTAGTCTTTTAGTATAGTACATTTGAGTACAAAGTGAGTACAGTAGAACGGCGATTTAAAGCGATTCAATTTAAGATTATTGATTTAAAGCGACACCCACAATTAAGGACAATGTTTTATTTTAAAGCAAATCTTTCCTATTTTGCGCGAGTCAATCTGTCCTAAGGGCAAAGCTGTACTGTACATGTACTCAAAATAATGTACTGTACTAAATGATTACTAAAATTTTTGTCTAGTGCAAACTATAGCATGTTTATATTCAAATTAATCACTATCTTATAAGAATTCCAGCAATGTAAATTATATTCTCCCTGATCACTTCTGTAACATTTTATAAACAAAAAGCAAAAACTCAATCTAAAGGACATAAATATACAAATAAATACTTCGCTAAACCTTCGGCACCAACTCTCAAATATGTCACTGTCACCTCCCTATTTCCTCCCAGCCAGGGTCTGGTGGTTATACAGTAGGCTTACAGTTTTTATCTTATATAATATCACAGACTAAAGTTAGGAGAATATAATTTGCATTGCTAGAATCCTTGCAAGACAGCAAATAATTTTAATATAAACATCATATATTTTGCACAAAAAGATAAAATTTTTAGCCATTTGTAATTACAGCTCCTCCCCGACTTACGACGGGGTTAGGGACCCAAATCCAGGTCGTAAGTAGGTATGGTCGTAAGTCGGAAATGCAAAAAGTAATCAATAATGAAGAATGGATACAGTGTGACTGTGCACTTACCTTTAATGTAGTCAGCTGAATGCACACAGGCCCCCCATAATTTACAGGATACATAGAGACTATATTAATTGGATGAAGCGGAGGAGGAGACAGGGCTGGGTGGGTCATAAATGTCGCTTTCTTCAGACAGGTTTATGTACAGGGGAAACTTGCTGGTTGAAGGTATTGGATCATCTTTAGGGAGTGAAGAGGCAGCACTGGTGGGGTGTGAGGAGACAGCAAGGGGGGACTTCTTAAAATAGATGTCCAATTTAGACTGCACAGTTAGCTTTTTCTTTTCCTTATAAATTTCCCTGTAACAAGCAAGTGCATCTTGGACCATTCTGTCAACTTTGGCAAAACGCTCTACATTTTGATCCATTCCGTCAAACATTTGCATCCCCTTATTAATTGTAGCAAATGCCTCTGCCATTTGCTTCACTGAAAATTTTTTGGGGGGTGCAGGTTCTTCTTCTACATTTAGACTCTCTTCTTCCTCTGCATTTTTGTGTGCTTCCAGTTCGATAAGATCCTCGTTACTTAGCTCTTCTGCTACACTTTCAACCAACTGTTCAACATCTTCATTATCAGTTTTTAACTCAAGCTGTTTATCCAACTCCACTATCTTGTTACTAATCTCAGAAATTACTTCATTTTCATTAAATCATCTGAAACTGTTCACATATCTTTTCAGTACTTTCTTCCATATTCCATTCATGCACTGTTCTGTAACCTCATCCCATGCTGCAATAATGTTCATTGTACATGTCAAAATGTTGTAGTCCTTCCAAAACTGTCTGAGCGTTTTCTCACCTTCAGTAGCAGCAACAGCCTGAGTGAAGGTCGTATGTAAATAATTAGCTTTAAAAGCTGCAATAGCACCTTGATCCACGGGTTGGATGACAGAGGTAGTGTTAGGTGGAATGTAGACTACCTTAACATCAGGGTGCATATCGTCCAGGCGTGGTGGGTGTCTCAGAGCATTATCCATAATTAGCAAAATCTTGAATGGAATCCGTTGTTGCAGACAATACTCCTTGGCTCGAGGAATGAAACAATTCATGAACCAATCCTCAAACAGTACTAGGGTCATCCAGGCTTTCTTGTTACTGAGATAAAACACTGGCAGTGTTTGCTTGCTGACATGTTTAAAAGCCCGGGGCTTTATCTTGAAACCAGCAACATTTCCCCCCAACAGAAGTGTAATTCGGTCCTTGAATGCCTTGAATCCTGGCATTGTTTTGCCTCTTTGTGGATGTATGTCTGTTCAGGCATGCGCTTCCCTAATAATCCAGTTTTATCCACATTGAATATTTGCTCAAGCAAATAATTTCCTTCCACGATGACACTATCTAGCTCCTCCTTAAAAGCTTCGATAGCAACAACATCAGCACTAGCTGCCCCTGCACTCACCTCAACATTATGTAAACTGTAGCGGTTCTTAAATCTGTTAAACCACCCATGACTTGCTGTGAAGGTTTGCTTGCACTCATCTCCTGCCTGTTCCTTCAGGCTTTCGAAAAGGCTTCTTGCCTTAGCCTGTAGGGTTAGAAGGCTTAAGGGTACACGCTCTTGTATCTGGTGTTCCATCCACATCACAAGTAATTTTTCCATCTTGTGAATGGGACCTTGTGTTTTCTTCGTTATTATAGTTCCCTTTATAGATGCTGATCCTTTCACTATCTCACGAATACGTTCCTTGTCCTTCAAAATAGTAGATATGGTCGAGTGCGAGAAACCTAAGTCACGTGAAATTGTTGCTACAGTTTTTCCATTTCATACTGCATTATTACCTTCATTTTTGTCTCAAAAGTAATAGACTTTCTCCTTTTCTTCTGAGCACTACCAGCACTCTCACTCGTACGCTTGCCAGCCATTCTAAAGTGAATTAAATACAAAATAATGTCACCACAGAGGCTAGCAGGGCCTCATCGTCAAACCCCTCGAAGTCCATATCCTCACTGTCACTGATAGGGGCTGGCTGTGGTGGTTGGCGGGTGAAGAACTCAGTGATGTTTTGTTGACGGCTAGCATTGATGTGGTCGTGATACAGCTGGCATTTCAACAGATGGTTATTCAACACTTTGTAGCAATGATTGACTGGGTCTTTGGCAAGGATGAGCTTCATTCTCTCAGCTAACTCTATGATTTCCTTCACATCAGCATGTGTTAGTTTCTGCTCTTGTTCTTCTGTAACACCTCGCTGCTCACTGATGTCATCATCTTCCAACATCTCGTCCACAGTCACCTCAGGTTGCCTGATTACCTCCAGGATATTGTTGTTGGTGGTCTCGGAGAAGCCTGCAGCTCTAACACCTTGTGCAGCCTCTCTTGCATTCTCCAATGCCACAGAAACAGACTGAGCCTCGCCAGCCACCGCTTGCCTCTGCCTCCCACCTGGGATACCCTCCACCACATGCCGCCACGCGTGCCGAATCGTTGCCACAGATAGCTGTCCCCATGCCTCCACCAAGAAATCAACAGCCTTCATCACGTTAAGCAGCTTCCAGAACTGCTTGACCCACATTTCATGGTCCGCCAAATCTTGTTCGTGTTCCTCGTCCTCACTCTCGCTATCGGTGCCACTCTCTAGGTACTGCAGTTCATCCTTGGTGTTGGTGAAGTCGTTCAGGAGCCGAAACTTCTTGGTGGAGAAAGCAGCCTTCACGTTGCAAATCAACTCCTGATCCATGGGCTGGATTAATGACGTAGTGTTAGCGGGAAGGAAGACCACTTTTACGTTAGGGTGACGATCCAGCAAAAGGGGCGAGTGTCCTGGTGCATTGTCGAGGAGCAACAAAATGTTGAATGGCACATTATTTTCCATGCAGAATTCCTTGATATCGGGAATGAGACAATTATCAAACCAGGAGAGGGACAGACCAGAGAACATCCACGACCTTCCCTGAGGTTAGCCAGTGGACATTTAACTTGCTCATGTCCATATTCTTGTAGGCATGCGGCTTGCGGGCTTGGTGGATCACAGACAACTTCAGCTTAGCAGTGCCTGAGGCATTGGTGGTGAACAGTACGGTGATGCGCTCCTTCTGCATTTTGCGTCCCCGACACTTGCTAGCAGACTTGACTACGAAGGTCTTGGATGGCCATTTCTTCCAGTACAACCTTGATTC